GATTAAGAGATGAGGAAAGGCAGCGTGGAGGGAAGAAAGAAGAGGGAGATAAGAAAGGTGAGGGAAGGAAGGAGGGAGGAGAGAGAGAGAGAGAGAGAGAGAGAGAGAGAGAGAGAGAGAGAGAGAGAGAGAGAGAGAGAGAGAAGGGGGAGAGAAGGGGGAGAAAAGGGGGAGAGAGAGAAAGAGAGAGAGAGAGAGAGAGAGAGAGAGAGAGAGAGAGAGAGAGAGAGAGAGAAGGGGGAGAGAAGGGGGAGAAAAGGGGGAGAGAAGTATAGAGGTGAGGAGGCGGGTAAAGGAGTGAAGAAGAGAAGGGTCAGAGAATGTAAGAAGAGGAAGAGAGAAAAGGAGAAACATTACTACTGTCCCCCAGTCCCCAACTTCCCAGTCCTTTGCCCCTGCTCTCAAATTTATAAGACTCAGAAAACATGGTACCTGTTTGACCAACACCATCCAAATCCTCAATACAAAAAACCATGGAAATGAAATGTGAAGGGAAGAAAAGAAGAGAATGAGGGCATTCATTTCTTCCTGGACTCGCAAGCCTGGTGGCGTCTAGGCTCCAGGCATGTAGGTAGGTGCTTATTTTCAGAGTTGCTCTATCTCTTAAAGGATTGGCTTTGGTTAAGGGCTACCATTTGTCCTACTACCCCTGCTTCCATTTGTGACCCTTCTTCCCCAGGCCTGAATTGCATGGCCTCAGCCACCAAAAGCAGATAACTATTTTTTCTCCCTGGAGGAGAGCCCAAGGTGAAAGGGGGTAGGGTTGAACAACCTTGAGGAAAGGCAGCATCAGCCTGAGTGAAAACCCTGTAAATATTTACTCTGATGTCAGATAGAGAAAGAAGAAGGCAGGGAGGGAGATAGAGGTGGAGGGTGTCATCTTCATCTGCCAGTGTGGGGAAAAAAGACAAGACATAGCTCTCTGTCTCTTAAAGACCTGGGATGTACTTTATAGAGTCATGGGGAAGCCCCTACCTTCTCACCTATAACCTTTAGAGGACAAGCAGGAAACAGATGAGATGTCCCAAGAGGTGGGCAAGTGGGACACAGGAGATGCCCTGAATACAGCTGGGTTAGGGATATAGCCAGTGCTGATATTACCATAGGCTAAAAGTGAAGGAACTTGGAAAATGTGACCAATTATTTCTCTAAATCATCTGCTCAGTTGAAAGCATTTTCGAATGTCCTTAGGGTTGATTCCAATGAGTACCTAATCACTGCAAGTACTCGGGTGATTTTGGGGGTGTGTCCAAAACCAGGGAGGGTTCAGGAAACAGCTCTTCCATAGATTTGACCAAAGTCAAGAAAAGCAGTAACCAGGGTGTGGCAAATGGAGCTTTGTTCCAGGGCACCAAACTTCTTTACTCTGTATGTAAGCAGAGCTCATAACACTGTTCTTGGGCAGGGGATTTGATGGGATGACACTTGGAGGTCTGAGATTTTGCTGGGTTAAGTCCTTTGTTCATCCAGAGCTATTTTCACTCACACTTAGAGTGTCTTGGGAAGCGTTCCAGTGCAAACCCCCAGGCTGGGAGCCACCTGAGTAAAGATTCTGCCTGTTCTCCTACAGCTCTGGGAACTTTTCTCTTATAGCCTCTAATCCCTCAAAAACCTTAAAACTCAGATTTTTACCAGGAAATGTTGTCATCATGACACTGGAGTCAACACATGCTGATCTCATTTTTCAATACCAGCCTGTTCACTGCTTCCCAACTTTGCCAGGATGTACTTTGCTCAGAAGGGATCAATTGCTTCAGTTCCATCCTGCCTACCCCCCTTGCCCTGACCTAGGCTGCCTGGCACCATTTTGTGGAGTCAGCCAAAACCACATCTAATTAATTCTTTTCCATTGTGGGCTTTGGGGAGGAACAAACAATCTATCTTTGGAGCATTTCAGCTGCCAAGGGGTAGCTAGCCTCTCCCTCTCCCTGTGTTCATCTCTCTCCTCTTTGCACTTACTGAGGGTTTCTACATGAAGAGTGAATGGTTCTTTGTTCTGTTTACCTTCAGGGAACATGGGGCCAGCAAACTCCATCTGGCACCCACTCCTCTGTGTATTCTTTCCTTTCCATGTGGTTGGGGTCACCACAAATTACCCAGTTTTGGGGATTTTACTGGGAGTCCTGAAGCATCTTTGCCTTTCCCAAGGAAACACACATTCTTGCATTTCTATTAAACCCAACCTCAAGTCTATTGTTTTCTAGGACTTCAAGTAGTGAAAATAATGATGACAGTCCCAGAGGCTGGGGTCTAATTGGAGGGGGCAGTCACCGTGTCAAGGGAGGGTCTGTAGTACTACAGGATAACAGATGTAGAGCTGGAGTGTACGATGGGAGATCATCTGACTCAATCTCTTCATTTTATAGGTGAGGAAATAGAGGTGAGTGGAGGCTAAGTGGTCTGCTTCAAGGTCACACAGGTAGTAGATGACAGCTGGGATGTGAGTCAAGGTCTTCAGATTTCACGTTCAGGGCTCTTTCCATGGTGCTACTTTGGTAGAAGGAAAAGCTTCCTCTCAATTAGAGCTATCCAGGAGTAGAATGGGCTACTTCAGAAGGACCAATGGGGTCCCCCTCCATTGAGGTATACACATGAAAGCTGGATGGTCCCCTGTTGGAGATATCTTAGTGGGGATTCTTGGTCAGGTATGGATTGGTCTAGATCAGGGGTCGACAAACTACAGCCTGAGAGCCTAATCTAGCCTGCAGCCTGCTTTTGTATAGCCCACAAACTAAAAATGGTTTTTCACATTTTAATATTCAACAAAACTTGATTTAAAAATGTAAAAACCATTCTTAGCTCATGAGTCATATAAAGATAGGCAGTGGGTGGGCTTTGGTCCTCAGGCTATAGTTTGCCAACTCTTGGTCTAAATGGTCTCTGAGGTTCCTTCTAACCCTAAGATTCCATGGTTCTGATGAATGGATAAACACCAACCTAAAGCGGGTGTCCAGTGGAGGGCTAAAGGTCTCTTTCCTCAGCCTTGTTTTGTTCGACATCTTTGTCAATAACTTGGATATAGTTTACCAAATTGCAGATGACATTAAATTGATACCAATACCAATACTAATACGAATACAAATACGAATACAAATACTAATACTAATACTAATACTAATACTAATACTAATACTAATACTAATACTAATACTAATACTAATACTAGGGTAGCTAGGTGGTACAGTGGATAGAGTGCCGGGCCTAGAGTCAGGAAGACTCATCTTCCTGAGTTCCCATCTGGCCTCAGACACTTAATAGCTGTGTGACCCTGGCCAAGTCACTTAACCTTATTTTCCTCAGTTTCCTCATCTGTAAAATGAGCTGGAGAAGGAAATGGCAAACCACTTCAGTATGTTTGCCAAGAAAATCCCAAATGGGGTCATGAAGAGTTGGTTATGACTGAAACGACTGAAGAATACTAATACCGGCAGATAGTTCAAGGACTCTGGTTTTGAAATCAGAGGATCTGGGTCACAGCACAGCCCAACCTCCTGTTTCATACTATGCCTTAGTGGTAGTTTCTGGGAAATTAGAATATGTCAATCCTAATGTCATTAGGTCAACAACAATTTTCTTGGTCAGAATCATAGAATTATAGAACCAGAATTGGAAGAGACCTTAAGAGATCATGTAGTGCTGGATCTTCTTACCCTGCAATAATGCCTTTGCCATGGTGGTTCCCTTCTCCCACTGGTGAGTTCCTTTCAGGGCCTCCATTTTGGTGATGATGGGCTCAGACCGGCCATGCTTCATTTCCCTGCTGGCCCTTTGAAATTATGCCCTCACTTGGGCACCCCTCCAGCTCCTTTTTATGTGTTGCCTTTCCCCATCAGAATGTAAGCTCCTTGAGGGCAGGGACTTTTTTTTTTTTGCTTTTTTACTTGTATCCCCAGGGCTTAGCACAGTGCCTGGCACATTAGTAGCTGCTTAATAAATGCTCATTGACTCACTAACTCTCTAAAGAACCATTCCCTTCCAAGACATCTTGACAAGTAGTCATCTAGTTTCTGCCTGAACACCTCTAAGATCAGTTTTTAAACAATACCTTGTTCTGACACAGCCTCAATCATGTACCTTCATCGCTCCTCATTCTTTCCATTCTCACTGTAAAAAGGAGACCTCAGTCCCCAAATGGGTGGTATTCAAACACTAGTACAACTGGCGGATTCTATTCTAGTGTATTTTTTTTCTGTACTACTCTAGTTTATCTCTGCCACTTGGTTTTGGATTGGGGCAGATGGGCTCCCTCTGAAGAGTTAGGGCCAGTCTAGGGAAACTGAAAACCTGATCCATCTCTTAGGTTAGCGTTTATATGCTTGAGATGATGAAGAACTTGGAACTGGGGAGAGATGGTCATATTCTTGACCTCACTCTGTCTCCAAAGGCCCTCACTTCTGCTAGGTATCTGACATTAATCCATGAGACCTTAGGCTTCTTGAGGCTAGGAACCATGCCTTGGGTAATCTATATATCCTCTCTCTCCCCCTTTCCCCATTTGTTCTATGTAGCTCTAGAGGGCAGAGCTAGCAGCAAAGGGTCTAAAGCAAAGGGAGAAAAGTTTGGGAGCAAAATAAGTAATGAGTGGCCACTGAGGTAGAGCAGTTCAGTAATGGATTGGGCTTGCCCCTTGCAAATGTTCAAAGATCCTCCATTGGGATGCAACAGAAAGAATTCAAGTACTACTAAGTACTAGGTTGAATTAAATGACCAAATAATCACCTGTGGTCATACACAGGTCAGTATGAAGTGGGGGCAGACCTCAAACCCTGGTCTTCCAGATTCCAAAGCTGGTCTTATTATCTATTCTGCCACGCTGCTCTCTTTTATAGATTAAGACGTTGAAGTTCAGTGATATTTAAATGATTTGTCCACCAGGGTCCCAGAGCCAGTAAGTGTCAGAGGTCAGAATCTGAACTCAGGTCGTCTAGTTTCTGTGAGTATCTGGCTCATCTTGAATGTTATGGGATAGAAAGCCTCTGATAGAGTGGGTCAGGACTCACCTTCTGTGCTCGTCGCTTGTCCGCTCTCTGATTCTGGTGGTAAATCCGACTGAAGTTGGAGACGATCACGGGGACGGGCAGGGCGATGACCAGGACGCCGCTCAGGGAGCAGATGGAACCAAAGATTTTCCCTGCGATGGTCTTGGGTACCATGTCCCCGTATCTGGGGATGAGAAAGAAACAAAGAGGTGCCCAGTGGAATTAAATTAGTGCAGCCTCTCTGACCCCTCCCATCTTGCCGCTCCTCCTTTCTTCAGCCCTGGAGGGGAGGAAAGGGGAGCTGGGGCTCTACTCTCCCAACATTGATTCTTTTTTTTTTTTTTTGTGGCTAGGCAATGGGGTTAAGTGACTTGCCCAGGGTCACACAGCTAGTAAGTGTTCTGTGTCTGAGGCCCGATTTGAACTGAGGTCCTCCTGAATCCAGGGCCAGTGCTCTATCCACTGTGCCACCTAGCTGCCCCCCAACATTGATTCTTCTAATAGGAAGGGAGGAAGCAGTGGCCAAAATAAAGGATTTGGGATATTTAAATCTTGCCACTTCCCTATGGCCCTGTGGTCATAGATGATAGAATCCTACAATATTAGAGATGGAAAGGACCTTGGAGGTCATCAGTCCAATCTAGACCCAGACAGGAATCTTGTCTGACCTCCAATGAGGAGAAACCCACAATCTCTTAAAACAATCAATCAACCAATCATTCAATGAAAAAGCATTTAGTCCCCACCCCAGTCCCCCTCACCAAGGCTCACAATGTCTCCAGTTCCTTCAACTGATACTCAGATAGGATAAATTCAAGAGCCTTCATCATCCTGGTTGCCCTGGTTACTTGTCCACTCTCTGGATCACCAATGTCTTATCCTAAAACATGGAGCTCAGAAGTCCACATGATATGCCAGATGGAGCATACTGGGACTACCCCTTCCCTACCCCTGGACACTCATCCTTTCTCAATGCTTTCTGGGCAGCCCATTTAACTTCTTGTAACAAGTCAAAATCTGTTTCTTTTTCAGCTTGCAGTGCCATAGCAGGATAAGGGATGGACTGTGCTGTCAGGTTCCTTATCTCCTGGCATTTGCAATCCCAAGAGGCCTTTCTCCAGACCCTAGCAGGTTTATCTCTTCCTTTCTCTGAGCCACTCTAGTATTCATTGGCTGTAGAATAGTAATAAAAAGATAATAATAGCTACTGTTTACAGAGTACTTTAGAGTTCACCTAATGCTTTTCAGCTTCATAACAATTATCTGAGGTAGGTACTTATTATTATCCCCATTTTACAGAGCAGGTAACTAAGATTAAGGGACTTACCCAGGGTTACCCAGTGTCAGAAGTAGAAGCTGAATTCAAGTCTTCCTGTCCCCGAGCTGGGGACTCTATCCATTACGCCGTCTTCCAGCATATCTATACTGGAAGGAACCTTAGAGAGCTTTTGGGTTTAATCTTTCCTTGTACAGTTGAGGAAACAAACCCAGAGAGGAAAAGAAATTTGCCTAAATGCCCATGTCAGTTCATGGCAGACCCCAGATGAGCATCTTCCTTCTCTTCATGCTTCCTTTCTACCTCATGAAAAATGCTGTTTTGTTAATAAACCTCTCATATGTTTCTGCTTTCTCTCATTGCTGTTGTAAGATCATTGAGATTAAGAACTGTCTCCCATGCCCCTTGGAATCCTCCACCATACCCAGTCCATTGTGGCTTGAAGCCAAGAAACCTGAGGTCAAATCTTGCCTCAGACACTAGCTGTGACACCATATCATCCTCAGCCTCAGTTTGCTCATCTGTAAGATGGGGATAATAAAAGTATTTCACTTCTAGGGTTATTGTGAGGATCAAAAGAGGTAATATATGTAAAAAAAAACCCTTAAAAATCTTAAAGTGTGATATAAATGCCAACAGTTATTTTTGATTAGAGCTGATCTGTCCTTAGGTTTTGCTGGGCTGCTCTGCTGATTGCTTTCCTACCCCTAAGAGTTAGGGCGGGAGGTCTCAGGTAGAGGTTCCAGCATCTGTTCTCTTGGGTTGAAAGAGGTTTCAGCAATTGCCTGGATTATGAAGAACCATGGGAGATGAACCTCTCAGGACTCCACATCCAAGTGTGGTCAAGGGCCAGGCTGGACTCCTTGCAGAATGGAGCCAGGCACATGCCCAAGGCTCTGTCCAGCAAGCTCCATTTAATGTGCTTTGCCAGAGATCAGAAGGGAGTGAATTTCTGGAAACAACCTCTAGGGTTCTTGAGTCCTAGAGATGCATAGGGTAGGGCAGATGACCTCCTCCACCCCTACGTCCTCTCCCTCCTCCCCACTGAGGGACGGGCAGGAAGCCATTCTCCTACAGAACAGAAAAAAAAAACCCAACCCCAAAACCTTCTGGGTCTCCCTCTCCGTGCCCTTTAGTCTAAAGAACAGCTTGGCAAACCCCTCCCTGAAGTTTTGATTGGGTAGATATTCACACTTCAGCAGTTGCACTGGGGGCCCTAATCTCCTGTCTCTGCTCTCACTACTACCTCCCTTCTAATAAATAAAACTCTGTCCCAGCTGTTGAATGTTATTCAGCCTTCTCTTTAGGAGATAATTTAAAGGCCTTTGTTAAACCAAGAGTTCTGAAGCCTCCTTTCTCCAAGGACAGAAGCACTTTTTTTCCCAGCCCCTCTGTCAAGTGGGTGCCTGGAAACAGAGGGGACTGAGATAACCATTAATCATGAAATTATCACTTTGAAATCATAGAGCTTATTTCTTCTATGAAGGCTTAAAGCTACTTGTCCTGAGATATCATCCTCCCAGGCTCCCAGGTTAGCAACCTCAGCGTTATACTTTTCTCTTCACTATCCCTCTCCCCCCACATGTCCTGCAATGGCCAAAATGTACAACTTCCTCTTCCCCATCTCTTACCGTCCAGTCCCTTCTCTCTGTGCTGCAGCTGCTGCCTTAGTCCAGGTCTTTTTAATGCCTCCCCTGGACGCTCGCAATGGCCCCCTGATTGATCTTCCTGCCTTCTCTCTCCTCTCTCTAATCCATTTTTCATACTGCTGACAAAATGATTTTCTTTAAGCCCATCTCTGACCATGTCAGCTCCCTCACTCAATAAACCCCAGTGGCTCCCCATTCATTACTTCTTAGGCTAAAAATCTGAACTCTTCTGTCTGGCTTTTAACGTCCTTCAAAATCTACGCCCATCTCCCTTTCCGGCCTCATTAGCTATTACTTCCCACGCTACAGTCTAGCCATACTGGCCTTTTCCTTATTCCTCATATTTAGCAGTGATTTAATTAGCTTTCAAGCACGTAGTATGTGCCAGGCACTGCGCTAAGTTCTGGGGATACAAGGAAGGGTGAAAACCTGGTCCCAAGTCTCAAAGAGAATGTGATCTTATGGACCACAGCCCCCTTTGCATGGCTATGTGTCCCCTGTGCTTGGAATGTATCCTTTCCTCTTCTCTGCCTTATAGAATCCTCATGGCTCCCCTTCCCCCAATCTCATATTTATTTCATAGTTGTTCTGTATATTATGTGTGTGTTTATATGTATATATATATATATGTATATATATATATATATACATATATATATATATATGTATATGTTGTACATCTATAGAATGTAAGCCACTTCATCCTCAGCACCTGGCACAAGGCACCTAGCACGTAACAGATGCTTAATAATAGCTTGTTGGTTGTGAGAAAACTCAGGGATCCTGGGGGGTTCCAGGGCTTGTAAAAAGGACTGAAGATGGGCTGGAGTGATGGCCAAAGACAGGCAGACAGTAGACCAGACTGAGGAAAGACTCTCAGAGGTGAAAATTTATTGCTGTGGAGTTGTTTCGGTCACGTCCAACTCTTTGTCACCCTATTGGGGTTTTCTTGGCAGAGATACTGGAGTGGTTTGCCATTTCCTTCTCCAGTTCATTTTACAGGTGAGGAAACTGAGGCAAACAGGGTTAAGTGACTAGTCCAGGGTCACACAGCTAGGAAGTGTCTGAGGCCAGATGGGAACTCAGATCTTCCTGACTCCAGGCCTATTGCTCTATCCACTGTACCACCTAGGGCTGTAGTTAGGTGGATACAAAATGACCCAGTGGGGAGTCATAAGGCCTGGGTTCAAATTTGGACTCTGCTGCTTATTGTATGACCTTGGATAAACCAGTTAACTCCTCTGGGCCTCAGTTTCCTCATCTGTAAAATGAAGGAATTGGATTAGATGGACTCGGAAGCCCCTTCCAACTCTATGTATGTCAGGTGGAGGGGGCTATAGGTATAAAGGGTTAAGGTCTCCCTGCTTTCAAGGCCTCAATCATGTGCCATCTCTTCCAGGAAGCCTTCTCTTACTTCCTCCCCTCCAAATGGAAGTGATCTTTCTCCTCAAATTTTTATGGCCCTTTCTTTGGATACTTGGATACTTCCTTTATACTTATCTCTGTAGAGTTAAGAACATTTATCTTCCCCTCCCTCAACATCTTCCCTCCCCTCACCCCCTCTCCCATGAAACTCTTAGGCTCCCTGATGGCAAGGTCTATGTCCTAAATACCTTTGCATCTCCAGTGCCCAGCTCAGTGCCTCACATACGCTAGGAACTTAGCAAACAAAGGTTCGTTGAATTTTGGATTGTAGGTCTGAGCCTCCTCTGACTGGTGATAAATCATCACATTTGGTCCTGACAGTTATTCAACTTGGTGCCTTCAACTCAGAGCCCCACAAGACAAAACAGAGTCAACAGACCTAATCTGGGAATAGCCTTCTTCCCCCTCCCCCTTCTCCCAACCCAAGGGAAGTCAGGACAGACTTTTGATAGTAATTGTGTTTGCTGCTGCCTTTTTTTTTAAACTTAGATGCTGGAGCTGTGCCAAGGTGTCCCCTGGCACTAGGTCTGGCAAGGGGGAGGACTTCTGGGGAGATGTGGTGCCCTTTTTGGACTGGGAGAATCAGATTGAATCCAGTCTAATCAGTACCTATTAGGAATAACGTACCGTGCAAATGGTGACTACAGACAAAATGAAAAATCACCCTGGCCCTTGAGGTACTTAAAGTCTAACAGAAAAGTGCGATTTCTGAAAACAGGCCAAAGCCTGTGCCCGCAGACATCAGCAAGGTGAGAATTTCTGTTTAACAAAAATATTCCGAACAACCCAAACAGAAGGCTTGTTTGTTACAAGCCATACTCTATATAACCAACT